CCAAAGGAAGTATTTTATTTTTTTATTTGTATTTATTTAACAATTGCACAGCAGCTGAGTGGCTATTCTATGATGCATATAATATTTTACACATATTACTATCCAATTTATTTATTTTTAGTGCTGTTAGATTTTTCTCTTGTTTAATCCCCTTTCCGTTATTTTATTCCCCAGCTGTCTGAGATAAGTGAAATTCTCAAAGTTTTAAATTTGGGTATTTTTTGAGACATTTGCCAACTAGGTAATACATTATAGATTTTTCAATTAAATGGAAATTCTACTTACCTGAATCTTTCTCATGCTCCTTCAGCAAGAATAAGGGAGATTGGAAAGAGATTGCTTCTTACCATTCATGCTCTTCTTAAGAAAAATAGCAAAAAAATAAAGATTATTGATCCCGTAAGACAGTCATTTCTGAATAGGACATATTGAATTTAAATTCATCAGTTAGAACTCTTTTTCTTTGATTCTTTTGCTTAATTCATGCTTGTCACTTTTAACTCAAATTCAATGCCTTACAAAGGCTTTTCAGTGATTCCCTCTACTCCATTCTACACGCCCTTTAGTGTAGATATGGAGTTTGGCTCTATTGTTTAGATCTTGTGCCGAGTCAGATTTTCAGAATTTTAGAGCGAAGAAAGGCCTCTGTGAGCATCCAGCTCAATGCCCTCATTTCCCCTTTAAGGGAATGAGGCCCAGCCCCAGTCACACAGCTGGTCAGTCTTTGAGCCAGAATTCTGACCCAGGTCAGTTTTCGTTATCCTTTGTTTTGTAGTTGCTTGATTGTTTTATAGATATGTTTGGTTTTCCCAGCTAGAGGATTTGTTGCTGGGACACAACTCTTCTCTTTATCCAAAGATTCTTCTGCACTTCTGTGTTTAGAGTAGGCAAACTAGAATGCCTGGGAGCCAGCTTTTCAGAAGCAAATGCCAGTGATATAAGAGTACACTTAGGTTTAGTCCTATTTTAAAAGGGTCTTCGCTTTTCATTTTAGTATATCTAAAACACCTATACTAATAAAAGGGTAATATGCTAATTAGACCAGATGTTTTCTGGATGTTCTTCCTGACAAAGCCGCAGTGTCTGCGAGGGCAGAGGAGGGCCGGCAGCCATGGCCGACAAAGAGGGAGGCCAGACTGTGGCTTAGGCCCGCTTCTCATGGGGATTGGGCCTTAGCCATCAGTAGGACATCCCCCTAAGGCTCCCAGACTGTGAGAGGGGGCAGGCCTGGCTGAGGGACCCCCTCCAGTGCACGGATTTTTGTGCACTGGGCCTCTAGTGTTATATATTCATCTATTAGTACAACTGATTTATGTCTCTATTAATTAGTGACTAGATAAAATTGTATACTCTGATTACTTGGAATACTGTGACAAGAAGCAAGGTGTATATATATATATAGATATATATATATATATCTCAATATTTGATAGGCTCTTCTAAGTTTTCTCTAATTGTTTAATGCAGAAGAACTTACTTAGAACAAGAAACCTACATTTAATCTGGCCATAGGTGATAATGACATTACTGTACCCCCACACCACCCAAATTGAGACTTCAGTGTGTTTTTTATGTTTAAAGAGTGCTACAAGAAAGGAAAAAAAAAAAAAAAGGCAAAGAGAACCATTGACTTAGAATAGCCTAATTGAGATGTTGAAGTCTTCCTTTTAAGAGAAAATTGTGAAGTGTAGGAATGCTTGTTGGAGGGATACATAGAAATCTTGTAGAAAGGTATAGACTGATTTCTTGCATCATTGAAATCACTTGCTTGCCCGTAGGATTTGTCTTTCAAGCCCCTGGGGTAATTGAATGGCAACTATAAACGTCCACAAATCCGAAAGGGGACTGATTCAACATGATGGCATGGCCTCTGCTTGTCACACAGATGCCACACAGCAAACATGCAGGGATCACAGACATTTGCCATCAGAAACTGCTCTTCCTTCATGGTGATGGGTGGTGGGGGGCCTAACCCACTGGAAGTTGTAGTGAGGTTGTTTTTGTGGCTGGACATCATGGTGCCACCTGACAAGTGTTTATCTATTCGAGCTCCTTCTCGCTCCCTACATTTCTTCATTGTCGGATGTCACTGTGCACCATTTATGAGGCTGCCATATGGGTATTTCTTAAATATTAAAAGATGTTCATAAAATAATGTACATGCATTAGAAAGTCATAGAATAGTCAAGTGCTCACCGAAGTTTTGTTTGTAGAATGGAGAATTTAAATTTCATACACAGAATCCTTTCTGAGCCTTGCTTTGGGCTGGGTGCTGAGGATTAGAGCAAACGCCTGACATTTTGAGGCAAAACATTTCATTTCTAAAGGAGGCAAAGTTGGATAGACTGATGATTGTGACTTAGTAGTAATTACATACCATTTATTATTTCATGAACACGATAAGCTAGAGAATGATAGATTTTTATTTTTTATTTTTTATTTTTAATTTGAGAAAGATTCTGGGATCACCTAATTCTAGAGTTTCCCAAATAAGGAAACTGAAAAATAAAACCAATAACACATGTGATAAACTATTTCTTAATACATATTTAGAGCATGAAGAACTTGATTTCCCGCTTAGGAGAGGGTCAGTGCTAAATCTGTGTGACAATTTCATTCACTCAGTGGAGAATTGAGAGGTTCTCTGTTTCGCACTCGAATATTGGACAGGATTCAAATGTAAGTCAAGTGTGTCTAGAGGCTTTCCTCATACCTATTCATGCCTTTTAGGCGGCAATGCCCCGGTTTCATGAGTTAATTTTAATGGAATTATATTTGAACAACTCAAAATTATATAATTAATTTCATTCAGCCTCAATTAAAGTTACTAATTGAATAAGCCTACTAGGACGACACCTGGCGGCAGTCCGCTCCATAGCAGTGATAGCAGATTACCGTACGTTGGCCTCTGCTGATGAGAGATTTCACATGTACAAGTGAGTTTATAGAAAAGCCTTTTCTGTGGATCATCTCAGAAAGGTCCTGCGTTGACTGCTGCAGTGCCAAGATATCTGGAGTTGTTTAAAAAAGTAAAGATTTTAATTGAAAATAGCAGATCTCAGGAAGATTACATTTTCTCCATGATAATGCTGAGTAAATGTTACATAAATCTAGAACATATTGGTTTAGCATGCTTCTGATTTATATTTTACTGCCATCTGAAAGTGGTTTTGCTTACTAAAAATACTAAGCCTTGAAGACCTTGTTTCATTTTTTTAGTTCTTAGCCTCTGGATTGAGTCCTAAGTCGGTGTTCCTTCGTTTCCACGTCTGAAATGTGTTTTGTATCGGGGTGTTTCGGTTGTTGTGAAATCCCCATGGTGCGTGTGCAGGATTTTTTCCACTTTCAGTGGGGATGTTAATACAGTTGACTAATAACTTCTGTTTGAATCTCTTTCCTTGCTTCCAGAAGCTTCTAGCTTCTCTTCCTTCTCTGATCCTTTCTAATCGGGCAGACCCCACAGAGACACTTCTTTTCACATGTCCCACTCTTTTGGGGAGCCTAGTCATGTGGTTGGACTTAGCAGTCAAGTTTAGGAAAACGACTCTTTCTAGCTGTAACTTCATTTATGATTTGCAAGTTCAAATATCTTACACTAAACTCATCCACTGGACTGTAAACTCCACGAAGGCCTGGGTTGCATATCCTAATTCATTGTATCCCCATTGACCAACACACTGCCTAAACATCAAATATATATATATAAAAATTATATATATATATATATATATATATATATATATATATATAATTTTTTAAATTCATACATTATTTTCCTGGTCTCCAGGTTTACTTGCAAATTCGCCCAAGTCCCCTCTCTCAATGATCTGTGAAGCCTCTGGTTAGTTTCTCACGTCCTCTCCCCTTTCCCATCTTGTTATCCATTTGGTTAAAATCTCATCAACTTCTACTGACTCTGCCGAGTCTCTTTTTTTCTCCTTACTCTGTTCTCCCAGGGACTCCCATAAGTGATTTTCAAGGATGTAAGTGCAGTGGAATAGCCCAAGCACCCCTCCCCTAAACTGAGACGGAATCTTTGGTGATGGGGCCTGGGAATCTGTTTTTTAAGAAGCGGCCCGAGCAAGTTAGGATGCAGCCAGGATTGAGAACACTAGTGTATACACATGTACTAATCTTCCTGAAGTATGACTCTGATTAGGCCATCCATAACTTTTCAGTGGCTACTTTTGCTTCCCTTTCTTGCTTTTAAGTTAGATCTGATAGATTTCTCACCTAAAAAGATCCATTCTGTGTCTCTGTTCAAACCTTTACGAACTGATCTCCTGATGTCCCTCTTAGACTACGTCAGTCCAGAGTTGGGACCTTGGAGTTTGCCCACGCTCTTTTCCCACCTGGAATGGCTTTTCTCCCATCTTTACTTTTAGAGTTCCTCCAAGTCTTTTAAAGACCATTGTTGTGTTTCCAATGAGCTATTCCTTTTCTTTACTTACTGGCGTTCCCCCCTGAGAACCCATAAATCCATATATAGAGTCCTCATCCGAAACACCGTTCCTCTCTGAGAATTTATAGCACAGGCCCTGTCTCCTTCCCAGGTTTCTATGAAGACACTCTGTGCCTCTTCACTTCTTCAGCTGCTACCTCTACCCCTCATTGGACTCTCCTCTCCTTTGGTGCTTTCCCTACTGCTCCCACGCTACGAACTTCCTCCTTTTCACCCTTGATATAAACTTTTCATGTTTCTGGGACCTGGCAGATCACTTACCATGTTCTGACGATTTGCTTACAGTAATCTTGACAGATTATTTTTTCTGTAGACATCTCTGTTTCTTTCATGCTAGGCATGCAGTAGGTGCTCAATAAAAATGTTATTGAGTCAGTATGTATGCAACAGGCAGTAGAGTTACTGCTCCCATATTCTTACATTTTGGCAGACTCAGAAGCATTTAGGAAAAAAAAATCTATAAAATGAAAAAAAGTAGAGAAAGATTATGCAACATTTAATGATGATAAATATATGTGTTTTTTTTTTTTTTATTCAGGTAAATGTGAAAAAGAAAATACCGAGAGAGATATAACTCATGCCAGGAATAGCTGCTTCACACACGGAGAGATGCAAGACCAGTTCATTTGGGGAAATTGTTCAGAGGATGAACTCATCAGAAGTAAGTACTTTTAGAGGACATTGCAGTGGTTTGGGGATCTGACTGTGATGATATGCTCTGAGTTAATTGTCCCATATTATTTTGCTGGAAATCTATAAATCAGAATTTTCAGAATTTATCTGAAAGTGTTTTCACTAGAATTTTACAATAATAGGGCTATGAACTAGGATATAAATAATACTCTCTCAGTTTTCATCCTTTCTTTAGAATTTATTGAGCTGTAAATTTTGGACTCAGTTCTTAGAGAGAGTTAGAGAGTACTTAATTCCTATTTGAGTTGTTACTAAGTGAAAGTCAGACAATTCTAAGTGCCTATGCCAAAAAGATAAAGACAGCTAAAGGACAATAAGAATACTTTGGTGATGCCATTTTAGTCCCTGTTCTTGTAAGTCAAATGATTCCAGACTTTTTTTTTTTTTTAATTAAAATGTTTATCATTCTTCTCCTTTTTTTTTTTTTTTTTTTTTCTCCTTTTAAAAAAATTCTCTTCCTCTCCCAGAGATTGTTGTGTAGAATGTATACAAAAGCTTTGGCATATTTTCATTTTATTCTGGGACCGGCTGGAAATAGCATTATCTTTTGGGTGCTATTTAGAATGCTTATTTCCTGTCGGGTTCTCCGCTGAGGCTCAGGTTCTAGTCACTGATGGGTTCAAGACGAATTGACCAGATAATGAATTGTTCTTGTAGTTAGTGAATATGAAAATCTGCTATGCCTAGCCTGGAAGAGCATAGGAATATATATTTTGGAATTCTCCTTCATTGTAACCACATTGTCATGTCTTATTCTATTCCCAGCATGGACAGAGGGAAAGAATTCTTTCCTGGAAATTAAGCATTATTTTTAATTTAATTCTTCACCCCAAACACCATCATTATATAGACCCTTTCTTGTGTTGCATTGAATTTGAATCTTTGAATATTTCTTTTCCTCTCTAGAATGCCCATTACCTGTCTTTAACTGAACAAAGCAGAAACAGGAAAAAAACAACTTAATAGAAAACATAAAGTAGCAATAGAAACACTATTGAAGGAAATATAAGGATTTCAAACAAAAACTCTAAAAGTGAATGTGTTTTAATTTAACTTTAGGACATTTCTTTTTTTCTTTTTTAAATTTTTGTCTTAGAGAATGGAATGGAAAGGAAATCAGGCTCAGAAATTAATAAGGAATGCCCTGCCCTAGCTGGTTTTGCTCATCGAGAGAGTGTTGGCCCACAGACTGAAGCGCACGCGGGAGTAACCAGTTGATATGTCTCACTCTCACATCAATGTTTCTCTCTCTCTCTCTCTGTGTCTCTCCCCCTCCCTTCCATTCTTTCCAAAAATCAGTAGAAAAAATATCCTCCGGTGAAGATTAAAAACAACAACAAAAAATTAGTGATGAGCCAAATTTATACAGCTTTATCCAAAGAATCAAATAAACATTATTTCAAGTAAGCGTTTATTCCCAAAACATTTATATGGATTGTCTACCATTTAAATGTTGACTCTGCTGTTATGAAATATCTTTTTTTAAGATATGGACAAAATCATATTTTATCTGTGATTTTCTAACAACCAGAGAGTTAGTGAGAGCTAGAAGAGGTCTCAGAAACAATTTTATCTCCACCTTGGGGAGCATGATTGTTTTCTCATTTTATTTCATAGTCACAGAATTTTAAGTGTGTGTGTTTCATTTAATTGATTTAATTCCCTACTCTCCCTTCCCAAGACCCACATAAAAAAAAATGTGAATAAGAACTCTTAAGACAAAAACCTAAATACAACCACTATTGCATAAGGTTTTGGAGAGTCAGATTTAATGTGTTAAAAATTTTTGTGCTATTTGATAAAACTTATCGTAACAGAAATTCATACCACAAATGGAATGGATTTAAAAGAAGTACTCTACTGTCAATATTGATTAAGTGTACAGTGATAAGACATTGTAAATTTCATGAAAAAGATTAAAAACAATTTCTTAATTGAAATGATGAAGCCTGGACACGAGTATTTGGGGACAGTTGTGTAGTTTCCTATTAATATACATTGAAGGAGTGCAGACAGAGAGAGAGAAAGAAAGAGAGAGGAGAGAGAGAGAGAGAGAGAGAGGAAAAAAAAAAAAAGAGAGAGAGAGAGAGAGAGAGAGAGAGATGTATTACCCCATTGAGAGGGCTGCTGGGAAAACTGACAGGTGAATGGATATTCAAAGGATAATGGCCAATGACAGCAATGCCGCTCCTTCCTGAAACATAAGCTGGCAACACTTTCTAAATTTATTTGTGGGTGACCATTGGACTCTGAATTCTGCTCACAAATTTAAAAAACGATCTTTTTGTTATTTTCCTGACAAAGGCGATTTTATTGCGTCTACAGGAAGGATTTGGCATCTGCCTATCTGGATTGGCCGAAATGGAACATTTATGTCATCTTTAAGCCAGACTCAAGTATGGCGAGCATTTGAAAGTCTGATATTGTGATAGCTCCAGCTGTTCCCGCTCCTTGACATGCAGCCTTACAAAGCTGCCGAATTTCCTTCTTTAGCCTCTCCCAGTGTTTAGTGTTTGGCCCTCACCGTGTAATTTAGTGTTTGTCTCTCTTCACCCTGCAGTTAGGGAGATGTGTGCTTTCCTCTTGGTTCAACATCTGGCACAGTCTGCGGGCCCACTAAATCTTTCGTAATGACAATAGGCCCTGGCAAGAGGGAGCTGCGTGGGGGGGAGGGCAACATCTGCGGTGAGTCAGGATCAGACTGGCTCCTGGGCCAGGAGTCCTGCCTGGAGCCCCAGCCCCATGGAGGAGGCAGGCGGCCGGCTGTCATGGAACTGATTGCAGTGTTCCCGCGGCAGGGGGAGGTTGGCTGGACGGAGGGATCGCAGGAAAACGAGGCCAGCTGGGGTGTGGGAACACTGGCAGATGCACAGCCCACTCTTTCCGAGCTGCCAGGGACAGCTCAGCTGCCTGGGCAAGAAGGGAAGGAGAGTGGCTGTGTTTGATGTGACTTCTCTTATCCTACCTATTCCGGAGCGAGGTTCGTGAGGGCTGACAGCTAACATCTCCTCGTCCTGGATGCCCGCTGCCCGCTTTGTTGGGCATTTAAGGCATAATTTATAGGGGACTGTTAGCTGTCAGTGAGATGAGGCTGTTTTTACTTTTCTGAGAATAACCAACCCAGCGCTGGAAAGTCAAGGGAGTGGCCGCTTTGGAAATTGTATTCTAATTAAAGGGTGTATTCTCAGGCCTCATAAAGGAGATCCAAGCTGAGAATAATTTCCAAATTATTCTGTGAACTTTAATCCTGACCTCAGCTGGGCCACCCACTTGTGGCTCACATGTGGTTCCTGCTCCACACAGAAGTTCAGGCCTTGTGTGCCTTCCCTGGTCCTTCTAGAAAACATCACAGGTGGCAGGCCTGGGGTACTGTGCTCTCAGGGCCCGGAGCCCTAATTGGTTGCCCTTGAGTTGCTAATTTATTAGAATTCTTTCTGGAAGCTATAAATAAAAGAGAGGAAATCCATGTGGAATCAAACATTTCGAATAAATAGGCCACGCATACAATCTGGGCAGGGAATGTGCATTGTGATTCTCTTTCTTATGAAATTTAAATTAAAAAGATAATCCTAACCACTCAAGTTTGTTGAAAAAGCAAACACACAAAACACCTAAATTAGATCAGTAAAAAAAAAAATAGCAGCTAAATTGAAGTTTTGGAAGACTTTATAATTGGAAAGTATAATTAGAAAGATTTATTTTTCATTGTGAACTTTCATTCTTTTTGCAGTATACAAAGCATTCATATTCTGAGAAAAATATTTTCCTGTCTGATTTAACTTCTGGAGTGGGGATTGCATTTTGGGGTTTATAAGGGCATCTTTCAGTGGGAACACTAGTTAAGACTTTGGCTTTTCTTGTCATATTAACATATATAACACGGTACATAATTTGGAACTATGCCTCGTTTTAATAATCACTGTGCCTCTGACTTAGTTAAATAAATGTTGCAGAAAAAATGGCACCCTCAATTAATATTAATTTTTCTATTTAACCCACAATATGAATAAACTGATAACAGGCAATAGACAACAATTTGTTTTTTAATTAGACTAGTAAAGGAACAAAAGTAGCATTATGATCTAAGATTTTAGGGGGACTTCTAAGGTAGGAAGGAGTGTGTGTGTGTGTGTGTGTGTGTGTGTGTGTGTGTCTTCCTAGGCTTTACTCATAAGCATTTGTAATATTTTCCTTTAATATAGGTCAACTTCTACTTTTCTAATTATTTCTTATATAAAGAGAGCTTGCATTTTCTTTGTTCCTCTTTCTAAAGTGCCTTAGGTGTCTAGCTCAGATTTTTCTAGGTCTTTTTGAAATTTCTTACTATTTAACTTTATCCTTGGACATTGCTTTTATATAAATGTCTCCTAATTCAAAATGTCATTACTTAACTGCAGAAATTTTCTTCAGCTTCTCTTCTGGAATAAATTCAAATGAAACTATTTTGCTCACCTAATTTTCTCCTTTGTGATTTTGTAGAATTCCCAAGATCTGAAGCAAAGTTAGAATGTTCTATTTAAATGGTAATCCCCATTCTGTTTAACCCATTTATTCATTTGGAGGGGGTTTTAGCTCTCATAATAGTAAGCACTTAATTGGTAGTAGAATGCAAGCCCTTTTTCTCTAAGTCACACTTGCCTCCTTTCTATGCATCCTGCTTTTTCCCTCATCCTGCTGCTTGAAACCTTTCTCTGGGCATCCTCTCAACATCAACAGGCTCCGTTGTTAGAAACACTATTATTTCTTTTCCTCGCCTTTGCCAGCTTGCCACTGATCATTCCTTACTGAGGACTGTTTCATCACTTTGGGGAGTACCTCCTCTGTGTAAAATATTGAAAGAAAGGCAAATCCTCAAGCATGCAATCCCTACCCTTAGGGCATTTCTTACTTTGAAGGTAAGGAAAGAACACCAAGAGGTTGGGATTAAGATTTTCAGTGGCTCTCATGTTTGAATGAATATTAGATTAA